TGAAGCAACGTCCTCCACAACTAGACTGAAGAACAAAACGACAGCAACTTGTCTGTTCCCCTTCCCCCAATTCCCCAATAAAAATCTTTAAAAAAAAAAATGGAGCAAAGACCTAAATGTAAGAACGAAAACTATAAAACTCTTTGAAGAACATCAAGGTGTAAATCTTCATAACATTGGATTGGGCAGTAGTTTCTTAGATATGGCAGCAACCAAATTAAAAATAGATAAGTTGGTCTTCAAAATTAAAGAACAGGATAATCATAAACATGTGGTATTTGGAAGAAATAAAACAGATCCACCGGCTCAGGGCAGTGGGCTCACGTCATAAAATATAAAGCCAGAAAAGTGAAATGAGGCTAAAGAGTAATCCTCCCATGCATTCGTCACCACCACCACCCCAAATAGGTGGTATTATTACCCAATTTTGTAGATTAGAAAACTAAGACTCAGAAACTGCCTCTGAGAGGTCAACGGTCCATGTAGTCTTATACCTGACACAGGCTTAGAGAAGCGTGACTTGCCAAGGTTTCCCAGCTAGTAAGTGGCAGAGCCAGGACACAAACCCAAGTCTTTCTGACTCCAAAACCTGCGATTGTAACCAAAGGGCTCACCCTGCCCAGCATGAGATCAGCTAGCACACAGTACATCATAAAGCCAGCAGAGACTCCAAACATATTCAAAGCTCTTCCAGAAAACAAAACAAAACGAAATAAACACTTCAGTTGATTTTATGGCCTCCTTATTTGCCTTGTTCTCTCATGCTGTTCTCTGGATTTTCCATCCCCTTTCTTTCACTAACCGGGTGTATAAATACGGATGATTGGTTTTCTGATGTTCATGGCCTCCATCCCAAAGATGAAGAGGTGGATGGGTTGAAAGGTGATTCTGAAACCACTGCCAGTAAGACCATTATAGGAAACCTGCCTCCTTTGCTGGTTTTACCTCCTCTAGCAGAACGCACAGGTCATAGACTTTAGAATCAGGGAGACCTGATTCCAAATCTTGCCTAGCGACCATGCCTGGCCCTGTCCTCTGATGACAGGTAGGGTCTCAGTTCAGCAGTCCTCCCAGAGGCTGATGGAAAACTCATGCATGTGTGTGCCTTCTCTAGTAAGTAAGTGTTTAACATTTCTTTTCTGCCTCCTCCCAGCATCCGCCTGTTCTTCTACCATCTGAGTATCCTGACGGTGCCATCCTGTAGGCCATGGAGAATGAGCTGCCAGTCCCCCATACATCCAGCAGTGCCAGTGTCACCAGCAGTACCAACGGGGTCAGTAGCAGCAGTGGTGGAAGTGGCCGCCCCACTGGGCCCCAGATTTCTGTGTACAGTGGCATTCCTGACCGGCAGACCGTGCAGGTAAGATTCCAGCTGAGCTAGGGGTCATATTCCTTGATCATCTCTATAGGGCTAGCCAGGAGGGTGGTGTGATGGAATAACCAGGGAACTGAATCTAGAATGGGCATAAGGGAGAGTGTTAGTGGATATATATTTGTGCGTAGTTATAGGAGAAGTGATGTTAGATGGGTCCATTCAAGGAAGTTTGGGGAGAGTGAGAATACTTAGCAGATCAGAAAAATTCCTTCCTTACCTGGTGATTCAGATCCCAGGGTGCTGTTTTGGGAACATAAGTGGCTGGAAGTGTATAGAGAAGACAAGTAAAAATAACAAACAGGAAAAAAAAGACTGGGTGCTGCTCAGCCACAACCTAGCCCAACTATCTAAATGACCATTGTCCTGTAACAAAGTTTCTTAAAGACAGACTTCGACCAAAATAGAAAGCCAAAACAATTCTTTGTCTTTGCAACTTTTTACCTTCTTCCCTAAAGCAGCGGTTTGCACCTGAGGCCTTCCAGGTGATTACACACTGATCCAAAATGCAGTCGTGACCATGAATTGCCATCTGCATTGTGTTCTGCACCAAAGCGAATTCTTCAGTGACATCCTCTAGTGAGGAGGAGTTACAGTATCCCTACTACTGCTGTGAGGGTGCTGGGGGCGGGGTACTTTCAGGAGTCTAAGAAAAATAGAGAAGCCAAGGTAAAGGGAATAAGAAGAAAGGATTCTGGGGAGAACAGGAATAAAAAGAACTGAGTTCACGTAAACCGGGCCCCTCAGAGGGGAGAATACACTGAAGCAAGCATGTGAAAGCATTGGGATGGGGTGCAGGTATCTGGGGAGACCCCAGGGCCCATGCAGAATCTGTGTATCAGCCTGTTTTCACAGAACCCCAAATCCGAGCCCAGTGGTTGTTTTGTCCTGGAGCTACCAGCCCTAGAAAGCATGCTAAGCCAGAGAGATCCAGACTGGAGGCTCGCTTGCGTGGGGCCGGATCCAGGGCTGGGATTCAGCAGAGATAAGGGCAGGGAGTAGGTCAAAGCCTGGCCAGGGCTCATGTAGGGCATCCCATTGGAAAGAGATGGCAAGAGGACAACCCGGTGAGGAGAGGGAGAAATGTCTCTGAGGCTTATGAGAAGGAGACAGAGGATCTCAGGGCTGAGGGGAAAGGCATTGCTTTTCCTTGTTCCTGAGGGTTGGGGAGAGGCTTTGAGGGGTTGGGAGCAAAGAGTGGGAGTGGATCAAAGAGCCTTTTGTTGTTTCCTAGAGACTGTGGCTCAGCCAGTCCCATCAGGAAAGAGGGAATGGCAATAACGCCAGGGAGGTGGGAGATGGTGGCTCAAAAGAGGGAGCAATGGAGAGAGGGAGGGAAAGAATAAGAGAGAAATGCATCATCCCTGTGGCATTGGCCTGCTCTGCAAGGCCAAGGGGGCCTTCTTTGAAGGGACTCATAGGACTTTTCCAGGCAGCTAGGGGCTGACCCTGGGACGCAGCCCAAGCCTGCTCTGAGGCTCCGGCCAGCACCGTGTTGCCCTTGGGGGAGTTTTGGTTGGGCTGGTGTGCAGCTCAAGCTGGGACGGGCCCCGCTCTGAGTTGTCTGTCTTTCCTCTCCTCCTCTCTCTGCCCTGTTGAGCTTTGGTTCCCTGACGTCATCATCTTCCCTGTGTTCCAATCACCCTAATCTCAGGCTGAAGAATGGTGGGAAGGGGAATGTCACTGTCTGGGACACAGGTCACTGGAGGCTTAAAGGACTTGTGTCTCCCTGAGCCTCCCCACCGCCCTGAGAGTGGGTCAGAGCAGTGGTGGGCTGCCTCGACTTCCCCATGGAGGGAAGCCCACACAGGGGCAGACGGTCCTGGGGAGGATCATGGAGCATGTGTGCTGCACAGGTGCAAGACAGACAAGGCATAAACGTGTACAGCTTTGCAAACAGTTGTCTTCCCACTTCCCTGAGAGTGGGCGATTGGTTGCAGTGCTGGTCACAGAGCTGGTGTCCTTCTCTGAGCAGGTGGGAAGAGACGGGCTTGACCAGGCATTGTTGCAGGAGCGGTGGGTCTGCAGTGGGTGGGTTGTAGGGCCGTCCATAGCACTGGCTCTTCCCCTCTCCCCGCCCCCCTCAGGTGATCCAGCAGGCCCTGCACCGTCAGCCCAGCACCGCAGCTCAGTACCTGCAGCAGATGTACGCAGCACAGCAGCAGCACCTCATGCTGCAGACGGCCGCCCTCCAGCAGCAGCACCTCAGCAGCGCCCAGCTCCAGAGCCTGGCGGCTGTGCAGCAGGTAAGGATTAGAGGGGTGCCGCTGACGCCACCCAGAATCCTAGCAGTTGCAGAAGTGAGAGGAGAAGCAGCAGGCACTGCACAAGTGCGCCCCATGCATTCTCTCACTGGATCCTCACGGAACCCCATGAGTAGGTTCGATGGTCATTGGCGTCCTTGACAAATATGGAAAGAGGCTCTGGGAGGTTAAGTGCCTTGCCCAAGGCCACACAGCTCCTGAGTGGAACAGCTGGAGCTCTCAGCCTTCCCAGGCCAAAGGAGGAGTGGGAGGGGCCTTCTTCACCATGTCACCGCACCGCAGGGTCAGGAGGTGTCCACAAGAGAGGGCCATTGCCTATTCAGCTTGCCTGTCTGCTCTTAGTGACTGAGGAAAAACTCCTCATTCATTCACTCACTCATTCATTAGACAGAATATCTTATGCACCTACTGTATGCCAAAGTTCACGTCAGGCACTGAGTATACTGTGGACCCTATATTCTTGGAGCTTATAGTGGGGAGACAGCCAGTAAATATCTGAATAGCTCCGTTGTGATAAGCTCTGTGAAGGAGAAGAGCAGACTGCTGTGACTAAGTAATGAGGATGATGTTAGATTGGGTGGCCATGGAAGGCCTCTCTGCTGGAGTAACATTGATGCTCACGCTTGAAAGACGAGAAGAAGCTGGCCAAGGGGAGGGGGCAGGCTGGACACCCCAGACAGTGTGTGTAGAACGCCCCACTTGGGAGCCAACGAGCCGGATGTGATAGAATGGGGTAGAGCGGAGGGCTGAAGAGAGCTGGAAACCTTGGTGATAACCATTGCTGACAGTTTGAGTGATTCTGCGTCAATGTTTCGCGTTGTGTAATCCTTTCAGCAATCCTACAAGGTAGACACTGTGCTTTTCTCTACTCTGTAAAAGAGGAAACTGAGGCACTTGCTTGAGGTCACACAGATGAGGCAGAATGGGGGTGTGACCCCTTACCACTGCCCTGTAGTACTTGCTTGGAAGGAAGGTGAGAGCCTGGGGCATGATGTGGGGAGACCTGGGACTCTAGTGATTAGAATTGTTCTTTTCTAGGCAAGCCTGGTGGCCAACAGACAAGGGAGCACTTCCGGCAGCAGTGTGTCTGCACAGGCCCCAACCCAGTCATCCTCGGTGAGTAGGATGGGGGCAGCAGGTAGAGCCCACAGCTCTGGGACCTTGCTAAGAATGCTTGTAGGCTCCCAGACCAGTTATGGTGAACCCTTAGCCATGTAGACTCATGGCTGGAATCTATGACTCTTGCCAGAAAAAAAAGTGCATGCCTCTTCCTAACTCTTACTTTAATAACTCCCTGCCGTTTTTCCAATGTCAAGGCTCTCTGTTCATAGCCCAGTTCTCTCCCCATTGAATGCTCCAGAGATGGGGTAGTTCTAGTGCTAGGGGCAGATCCAGGGCCCAAGGACCAGAGGTGGCTCGAAAGAAGGCTGAATCCACCAAGGGAGAGGAGAAGGGGAGCGAAAGAAACGGATGCGAAGCACGAAGTTAACAGAACCTCTTGGTTCCTATTACTTGTGTCTGTCTCGTCAGATAAATCTGGCAGCCTCCCCAGCAGCGGCCCAGCTCATCAACCGGGCTCAGAGTGTCAACTCAGCGACAGCCTCGGGCATCGCCCAGCAGGCCGTGCTCCTGGGCAACACGTCTTCTCCAGCCTTGACGGCAAGCCAAGCACAGATGTACCTGAGGGCACAGATGGTGAGTACCCAGCCACGGGCAGAGAAGTCGGGAGCTGGGAGATTAGAGAAGTCTGGGGATTAGTGAAGGGTGGGGAAGAAGTACTAGGGGACAGGTGGCAAAAGATAAGGGAGGAATAAAGGGGGAGGGGGATTGGAAGGCTGAGGGAGAGCTTGGTCTAGGCTCAATGGCTCAAGGACAGGTGGGGTTCCAAACAGAAATAAAGTTACCCATGATGCCTCCTTTCCTTCCCCTCCTAGAGTGAAACAAAACTGTCCTCTTATCAGAAACTACTCCCTAAAATTAGAGTAGAAAATGCAGGAGCCCGTGCCCAAATGGTCTGTACACTTAGCCACGTAAGATAAACAAGCACACAAACATCCATGGACTCTACAAAAGTGAGGTCTTACCTCACTGTGACAGTCCTTGCTAGTACTCAAGAGCCAAAGGTACGGTCCAGCTCAGCTGGTGAAGGTGACAGCCAGCTTCAGGACATGCGCTGCCTCCACTGCCCTCCTAGCTGGGTCCCCAGTCTAATCAGGGTCACCCTATCAACTGTTAATCAGGTGGGCTTGTTTGTCCTGTACCCAGGACAACATCAGCCCTGGACAAGCATACCTAGAACCTCTCCTTTATACCTGTCCCTACGGGGTACAGAGGTCCTTGGAAGCCTAACAGTTTCCTAAGAGTTAGAAGAATTTCCTGGGAAAATAGCAGCATGGCCCCTAGGAGGCAGTAATCCTGGCTCTACACTGGGCTCCAATCACTCTGAGTCCAATCTCATACCTCCCGTTCTGAAGATTTCTCCCTGGAGCTCTTCAGGACACACTATCCTAAGGACAGTAGAGTCCTACCCCTGCCTTTGCTCCTGTGGCCAGAATTTCACACGTGGAATTTTTCCGGTCTTGCTCCGGCACTTCTTCTTGAGTCTGGGTTCATTGTTTGAGGTGCAGCTCAATTCCCAGGGACTATCCTCTTAGACACACAGTATGGAGTAGACTTCCACATCTCTAGGGAACCAGACAGTCACATTGTGATGCCACCCAAACCCCCCTTTGTCTTCAGTTTGCTCATTCTTTTGTCCTACTCAAGTGCCCCAACTGGAGTCACGAAACCTGCCTGCCTCCCTCCCCAAAGCAGGACATACACACACAGAGGCGCTAGTGTAGGTATGTAGGTACGTCACAGAGTTCTGGGGAAAGCACGCACTCAGACACCAGCCTGTCCGCAGTGACACCAAGCTGGACCCGCAGGGGTGGAAGTGTCATGCAGAGACCGTCATGTGGCCCGCACCCCATGGAAGGAGATGCAGACATGAGTACAGCTCTAGGCGCTCTGTTTCCTCTACCACTGTTGGCTACACACACACACACACACACACACACACACACACACACACACACACGAGTCTAAATTTGACTTTAAAAATGACCAAATGACCTTTCTGGAGTTGAGTCCTGTTCTGACCCCAACCTGGACTCAGGAATGGCTTAGACCTTAACAGTTGTCCTAGGGCACCTATCTCAGTCCAGGGTCCCTGCTCCCCAGGATGCTAGCAAGAGAGTGACTATAGGGTGTCCTGTGAATGTAGGTCCCCTCTAGGACGAGCTCCTCGTGGAAGCTTCTGCAGTAAACCTGACTTGGGTGCAGCCCCAGAATGCCTCCCCATCTCCCCATATCTGCTCCCTGGCTAAGCTGTTCTGTCCTGCGGCTGAGCCCACATGGGGCAGGTAAAAGGCGCCTTGTTTCCTGTGATTCCAGGCCCAGCCAGGTAACCTGGTGCAGGTAGCTAGGAGCCTAGGCGGCACTGTTCCTTTGTCCCCTCAGCTCATCTTCACGCCCACGGCCACCGTCGCTACTGTGCAGCCTGAGCTCGGCACTGGCTCCCCCGCCCGGCCCCCCACCCCCGCCCAGGTGAGGATTCCATGCTTGTGGGAGGGCAGGGGGGGGTGGGCACCCCCCTAGAGGGGTACTGGGTATGGGCCCGAGCCCTGGTGGAGCTTGAAATCTTTGGAAAGGCTGGGATCTTCTAGGAAAGCAGGTAGGAGACAGGACAGCCCAGTGCTCCCAGACTGGCTGCTTCGTTCCCCGTTGGGAAGGCCTCAGCCACTCTCGACTCTGTTCCCTCAACGTAGGTCAGGCGTCAGAGAGTGGCCTGCTGAGGCAAGCATGACTGCCAGGAATGAATGGGCAGTCATTGCTACCTTGGTACCATAGAGCCGCCCCAGGGTGACTTCTGCTGCTATGGTTGTTTTTTAAGTGGAAAATCCCACTCTGGTTACACACGCTAGCACCTCTAGGAATCAGGGGAAATGGCATGGAAGAGGGAGCAGAGATGAGTCCTGGGTCCCTCGCTTCTGCTGTGGGCGCACAGGTACTGCTGTGGCTGTAAAGCGTCTACGGGCAGCCTGGGAGATGAACACGCTCCCCTCCCCGGCCACAGAATGGGGACCACTTGGAGAGCACTTGGTAATAAGATTATGAGATTTGTGGGATGCAAGTCTGGCACAGCCTCCGTGTGTCCAGCAGAGGGCACCAGGGACCAGGTTGAATAAGCGGCCCAAACCCCTGTAAACCTTATTCTGAGAACAAGATAATCCTTTGCTTGGTGGCTTTGCTGGTCAGTTAACTTTCACATGTGCCCTGGCCTTTTCCAGTGTGGGAAGCCCCGTGCCTCTATGTATCTGGGAATTCTAAGTGGTATGCATCCCATCCTGATAGTTTGGGGGCGGTGGGGAGGTAACAGAAGGGAGAGCGAGCCAGCCTCCCTGCCCAACCTGCCCCAGCCTAGGCAGTCTGCCCTTCTCAGATTTCAGTTTCTTCTGCTGATGGATCTAATCACCAGCACTCTTTCTTGTCCCCTTTAGAAACTCGACCTGCTGTTGGTTTCTCTTTCAGCCCCTAACTCAATCTCTCTCTCTTTCTCTTTGATTTTTACAATCCACTATCCTGTTCAGCCATTCCTGGGTCCATCCCTAACCCCTTCCCTACCTTAGTTGTGTGTTGGCATTGTTCCTGGCCACATTCCCTGAACTCTTATAGATCCCTCTTTTCCAGGTACAGAACTTGACCCTCCGAACACAACAGACACCAGCTGCAGCAGCCTCGGGCCCTACCCCCACTCAGCCTGTCCAGCCCAGCTTGGCCCTGAAACCCACACCAGGTGGTAGCCAGCCTCTGCCTACCCCATCACAAGGCAGAAACACTGCTCAGGGTTCCCCCGCAGGTGCCAAGCCTGGCATGACTGACAGCGTGATGGAGCCACTCAAGAAAGGAGATGGTAACAGCAGTGTGCCAGGGAGCTTGGAGGGCCGGGCTGGGCTCAGCCGGATGGTGCCCGCTGTGGCTACCCACCCACTCATTGCACCAGGTAAGGACTCCAGGAAGAAGGATCCTATCCCAGAAAACCCAGGAGGACTGTGGGGCAGGGAAAACTTTCAAACTTTTTTTTCCCCATGGACATGCTAAGATGCTAGCCATGTGTGTATCTCTCTCTCTCCCCTCTTCCAATCTTGCGGTGTTCATCAGCTCCTGATTCTGTTTCATGCTTCTAGTCTAGCTTTAAAGAAATCCACATCAGTTGGAATAAATGAGTCCTCCTTCACAATGGGCACAATGGTGAATCTCAGAGTATACAATCATAGCTCTTCACCTTGAGTAAGCGGGCATTGGCAGTGGGGCTACTTTGAAAGTCTCCAAGAGTCAGCGAAAGGGATACGGGCTAGCCAGAGGCATGTAAGAACCACACAGGGAGATGAGGAAGTGAGAAGTTTATTTTCTCATCACTCAACAGACATTTGTTGACTAATACTTGCCAGTTTGGGGTATGCCAAGATAAATAAGACTGGGGCCCCGCCCTCCAAGGAGGGCACAGCCTGGAGAAACTGAAGACTGCAATGCAGTGCAGTGTGATGAGCGCTGTGATAGAGGTGACTCTGAGTGCTATAGGAACACGAGGCACTAGCCAGCCATGGGGCAAGGAGCCAAGAAAGGCTGCTAGTGAGGGTAAATCTAGCAGGTTTAAAAAAAAAAAATCCAGCAGGTTATTTGTGAGGCAAGCTCTCTGAAGGCGATGAATCAGTGTTCCTGGGGCCACACTCCTTTCCCTGCCTGCTGAAACTCCCAGCACTGCCTCTCGCAGGCCATCTGTAATGAGAAAACCTGCCAAGAGCCCTAGAGCCCCTTATCAGTCTAAAGAACAAGCCCAAGCTGTTATAGCACAGGAATAAATATAGTGGTGGACCACATGGCTTTGCATTAAAGCGAGAAGAATCACCCTGGTCACATCCCTAAGACAACCACTGACCCTCTGTCCTCATCCGGACCATCCAATCTATTATTTTTTTTTTTGAAAACCTACTACATGCTTATTTCTAGATTAACCAAGATGGTCAAAATATGATTCCCTACCTAGAGTGTGTGGTCAAAAGGAGGGAACCAGATATATAAGCAAATCCATTCAATTTCATAAATTCTATTATAGGAGGAAGTATGAAGTACTCGTAAGCGTGAGCACAGATGGTCATCTCAGCGCCAGGCAGGATGGGTCAGAGCTGCTGCGCCTCCGAGGAAATGGCACACGAGTCTTAAGGCCTGAATAGTTTACCCAACAGACAAATAGGCGAAGGTATTCCAGACAGATAGAAGAAAGCACAAGTCGAGTGTGTAATGACAGTGAACTGGGAGGAATCTGAGTTAAAGTCCTTATTTCACCTTTTTGAGGTTTCAAGGACAAATGGCAAGTCTCTGCCTCCCAGTGGTCAGTACATTGCTGAGGAAGGCACCTCCCTGCTGTGGTCTCACTGCCCTGTGGCTCTAGGTGTCTTTCTCTCTCTGGCATTGCTTTCTCCAGAGATTAGTCCAGCCTCATCCTTTTATGGAGAAAAGAAACTGAGGCTCAGGAGCATAAAGACTGGGGTTCTTACAGTGAGTTGTTAGCAGCTCGGACTAGAGCACAGACCCCATGTTAGCATGTCTTCTACCTTCTCATTCAACCTACAAACCCTACAGCAGAACTGGGAACCAGTTGCATGTCTGGCTGGGTCAGATCCTGATTCTTTATCACCATATTTGCCTCTCTTCAGTTCTTACAGTAATTTGGGTCTTCCTGGGCCTTTCTTATTCCTGACCCAAACGAAGCTCAAAGAATCTGACGGTTCTAAGATTGTTCTGGGGTTTACAGTCTAGGGGAGGACTCTCTTCTCTTGAGCCTGGTAAAGGTGAACGCCGGTGAGTTACAGGCTGAGGTCCTGGGACTAGTAGTATGTGGCTACACGCAGTACAAAGACCAGTGGTTCCACAGACATTTCTATGGAGCAGCTGTGAGCTGCAGACCACAAAGACCCTCTCCCCAGAGACGCAAATCAGTAGGCTTTGCATTTTTCTTGCTTCCCTCCATCCCCTTCTGTTCTTCCTTTCTTCTCCCACCCCTTCATCTCAGTAAACCCTATGGTTCCACTCTCCCCTCCACCCACCACCCCTCACTCCTCCCACCCCAAATGGAAGGCATTGGGAGGTTTAGGATGCTGCAGATTCTCTCAGGGCCTCTGGAACAAAAAGAGAAAAAAAGAAAAGAAAAAAGACTGAAATAACCCTTATGACCTGATGGGGAGCAGCCTGGAGCAGCACCTGCCTTGGGCTCCACTGTTCCCCAGGCAGAGGTAACTCCTGGCCTTCTGCCCAACCAGCCCACTGTGAATGAACTGAGTGGGCAGAGCGTGTGCGCATGCGTGGGGGGGGAGCACTTTTTTTGTTTGTTATTGAAGCATTTTTTGAGCTGTCTGGCTGGTTGCCCCCAGGGAAAGTAACCAGTGGAGACTTGCGGTGGGAAAGGGGGGGACAGTAGGGGGAGTACAGCAGAAGGGAATGTGTTCTCCTGGGGACTGTTTCCTCACAGAGCAGGCAAATGCTCCAGTCCCAGCTGGGACTGCTCCCACTGACAGCTGTTTGGGGGCAAAGCCCCTCCCCCATAGCAAGCTCCCTGCTGTTCCTGCTCCTGTCACCTTGGCAACCGGCTTCTTTAGGCTCTGCAAATAGAAAAGGTCCCTTATGCCCTGAAAAAGGGTGTGTTGGTTGGTGGGGGAGGGGAGTAAGGGGCGGAGAGCAGAGCCTAAGAGGTTGGGCTTCTCAGTGACAAGGGGGACGGAACAACGGAGGGCAGAAGAGAGGCAGGCAGCAAGGTCCCATGGGCCTGGCCTCCAGGGAAGTTGAGTCCTAAGGGAGCTGGCCACAGCTCCCGATAAGAGGCTCGGCTCTTGGAGTTCCCATTCTAGTGGATACACTCGAGGCCTTGGGTGCACACTCAGGCCCAAAGGTGAGGAGAAAGTCGCTGACCGGGAGGGAGATGCTGTGATAAAAGTGAACTTTCTGGTCATTGAAAACCCTGGGCCCTTTTCACACAATCGTGCCGCAGATGCCAGGGCTTTGTTCTGTCTTCTTATCCCTCCTCGGGTCTCATGGAGGAGAGAGAATTCTCTGTTGGGAAGGCCTGCCACACAGCAGCTTTGTTATATCACAGAGGGGGGTTTGTGTCAGGGAGTCCGTGATTTCTGTCTCTGATAGGCTGCACAACGGGAGGCATGCTGGCCTATTCCAGGAATCTTGGGCACCATGTTCCCCTCCTGAAGCAGCTGCCAAACTGTGGGGGTAGACACACTTTTACTTAGAGAATCCAGTAAGAATCAAAACACGCAGGTGGGCCTGTTATCTAACAATTTTGATGTTAGAATCACGTAACCAGCGGGAAAGTCATTTCAGCCATCCACCGTAGGACCAAATTTAGATGACTGAGAATCTCCTCCTTATATTAGGGAAGAACATCCACAGGATTCAGTGGAAGAGTTTGATATTTTGCTTAATACTATCCGTCACCATGGGTGTGCACGCATGCGAATGGTGGGGGGGCGGGGAGAGAAAGAGAGAGAGAGCTGACTTGATACACAAAGGGCCTTGGAGCCACTGAGCATTCTTCTTTCCTGAAATTCTTTACCCTCGGCTTCTTACACGAGTATATATTACTTCCATGGTTGCACCAGCTAGTAATAGTAATTACCAATGAGTGAACAGCCATATTGCATACACTGCACTAAATGCCTTACCTACATAGCTCAGTTCATCCTAACGATGATTATCCCATCTCACAAATGAAGACGCTATGACTCAGAATAACTGTCACCCCCAAACAGTTTTTCTCTCTTTCATTGTTCAGCTCGACAAATATTCATTTAGCACCTATTATGTACCAAACATAATGCCAACCCTATGGGAGTTACAGAGATGAACAAGTTTAAATTCCAGCAGGGGGTTGTGGAAATTTGAGTCGCACCTTGAAAAAAAATGAGTAAGTTTCCAAAACTGAACAGAAGGAGGATTATCTCAGCTGGCAGGGGAAGCACCCACACCCAGAGAGCCATGTGTGCATGTGACCATCTGTTCATGTAGGTGGGACCTGCTGCTCCTCCTCCCGGTCCCTGCCCCCCAAGACCTCAGCCCTGACTTCGTTGTGTTTTATTCCAACACTGACTTACCTACCCCCCCCAGAGGAAGCTCGTCTGTTCTTACGTTTCACACACCTACCACCCGTCCGCAGGTGACTTCTCCACATGCGTCCATCCCTGTCCTCACCCCCTCTCCCCATACATGACCAGCTGTCTATAGGGTATTCCCACTTGGATGTCACCCCACCTGCATAGGCATGTTTAAAATTTGGACAATTCATCAACAAAAAAAACCAAAAACCTGGAAGTCTTCCTCTATGGAAAAGCCCCCTTTCCCACTTCCTTACCGCTGCCCGCACGCATGCACGCACAAGGCATTCCTATACCCCAGGCTCACAGCCTCGGGCTTATTTTGGCTTCCTTTTCCTTCACCAGAGAAGCACCGTGTTACGACGGGGAAAAGTATGGCTTCTGAGTTACACCCAGGTTCAGACCCCTGCTTCATCACTTTCTAGTTTTATGACCATCATCAAGTTACTTAACCTCTGTAAACATCAACTTCTTTATTTATAAAACAAAGATGGTTATGTTTACCACATGGCAAAGATGAATGAGGTAACCGGCACACAGTAGGCTCACGGCAGAGGCGTCACTGATGGCCGGGATGTCCTGCTCACGGCGGCTAGAGTCATCTTCCTCGGAGATGTTCTTTCTTTCTCGTGTAGAAACCCTTCACTCTGTCCGTATTTCCCACTTTATCAGGAAATATCATTGCGTACTTTGCACTGCCTAGTCCATGGGAGAGACTCAATAAATAGCACGTTAATGGCTTCTGATCGACTGGCTCCGTGGGAACCTTCGAGACGCTCCCCTCCTTGCCCATGGAACCACTGTAATCGCTCGTGGCTTCCTCACACGGCTCCTCAGCCTCGTC